GGGGTGCCTGGGTAGCTCAGTGGATTAAAGCCTCTGCTTTCAGCTCAGGTCATGATCCCAGGGTCCTGGGATCGAGTCCCGCATTGGGCTCTCTGCTCAGCAGGGAGCCTGCTTCCCCCTCTCTCTCTGCCTGCCTCTCTGCCTACTTGTGATCCCTGTCTGTCAAATAAATAAAATCTTTAAAAAAAAAAAAGGTTTCATTCAACTATTCAGTAAACTAACAGGTACGTATCTAAGATTAAAAACAGAAGATATAACAAATTTCAAATTACTGCTACTGGAAAAAAAATCCTCTACAAAAGACAACCAAAAAAGCTTTAAAGCTGAAAATACAACAATACAATCATTCCCTCTAAGACTAAAACATTTCATGATTCTGTAGTTTAAGAATAGTTAAACTAAAGCTTTACAAGCAAAAGGAAAAGCTGTTTTGTTTTCTAATGTCCTCAATCCTAGCCAAAGGAATTGAAATGTGGCTGCTCTTGTGAGATTCTTTAATAGCCAAAGGATACCAAATAAATTAAATTTTTCATCAACTTAAAATTCAAACATAAATTGGTACTTACTATTACCTTCTACGTCACCTTAAAACAATGCAATTACTATGTGTCATAGGCTCATACCAACATTTTTGCCAATATTTGACAGACTTATGGTTCTGGCAGGGCAGGTAGATTTTAATATTTTAATTTCATGACTGGATGACAGTGAGTGTTTTTTAAAATTAACTGCAGCATTCTATAGTCTACTATAACATACTTATATACTATACTATAATATACTGTAATACCCATTTAAAAGAACTGGCAGAGATTTTTATTCTTCAAATACTACATATTATCTTCCTTTCCAAATATATTATCATTAACATTCTTTAGAATACAATGTAATCAGGGGCGCCTGGGTGGCTCAGTGAGTTAAAGCCTCTGCCTTCTGCTCAGGTCATGATCCCAGGATCCTGGGATCGAGCCCTGCATCGGGCTCTCTGCTCAGCGGGGAGCCTGCTTCCTCCTCTCTCTCTCTCTGCCTGCCTCTCTGCCTACTTGCGAATCTCTGTCTGTCAAATAAATAAATAGAATCTTTAAAAAAAAAAAAAAAGGAAGAAGAATATAATATAATCAGAGTTTGCCACAGCAGGAGTTGCATAATGTCTCCTTCCATACTTTAATATGGTAATCAGCACAAAAGAGAAATGCAGTTCCACAGAGGGCAATCTACCTGGAGTTTGAAAACCTTCCATTTTTTAAGAAACACCTACGACGTGCAAGGCATTGTGATAGACACTGGGGATGGATCCTGAAGCAGAAGAGATTCAACTTCTGCCTTCATGGAGTTTTTAGCCCAATGAATGAGACATGAATTTATCAATCAGAGAACTGCATTTCTACGAACTATGATAAACACCATGAAGGAAAAGTAGGCGTGCCATCATGTGAACACCTAATCTACTTTGCCTGATGAGAAAAGGCTTCCCTGAAGAAGTTATGATTGAGTTGAAGTAAGAGTGTTATTAGATAAGGACAACTTACTTGGCAAAGGGGAAAGAACAGAGTATGTGCAAAGACCTTGAAGTAGGAAGAAACATGGTGTATTGAAGGAACAAAGAAAGCTAGCCAATATAATGTGTCAGAATTGTATATGGGCCAGGCATAGTTGCATGGATACCAGTTAGGAGGTTATAACAGGTCTCCAGGTGAGAGATAGATGGTATCTCATTAGGAGGTAAGTAATGAAGATAAGGGAAAAGACAGCAGATTCAAGAAATATTTAGGAGAAAATCAGTGTTACAATGAAGCCAGGCAGAGCAGAGTTAGTAGAGTTTTAAAGATGACAGATCTTGAAATTTTTCAGTTGTGAGACCAAACAGTAAAAAACTGGGAATTTGAACTTATGTGAGGCTCCTCAATGAGCCAGAGAGCAACGCACCCAGGTTTTCTAACAGCAGTAACATCTTAGGAAGGGTGATTTTTAGGAAATGTGCCAGAAGGCCATAACCAAGACCACAATAAATTCAACCAGGTATTTAAAAAATAATTAAATACTACAGGTCCCACTTCTGAGCTGTCAGTTAGAAGGATACCAAATGATAAAATTACTGGGATTTTCAAGGTACATGCTTGTAACATCACATTATATCACTTATTTTCTCTCCTTTGTACTTCTGTAAAAATAAGATTTCTAAACATAATATAGGAGCTAACATTCAGCATAAACTTAAAAAACAACATTTTATATCAGGAAGATCACATTATACCTGAGAATATTAGGGGGGAAAAGCCAAAATTTTATCTGAAAGATGCTACGACGTCAGGGAAACAAATGTCATGACAAACAAGATATCAATGTCCAAGATGCATACTAGTAACAGCAACTTCCACAAAAGTACCTTTTTGATCAGGAAAATAAGACAGATATGCCATAATTCTATTACCTTCTTTGTTTCAGAAGACCAGTAAATGGAAAATTTTTACAAGTCTTCTTTCTTTCTGCTATATGTAACCAATGTAATAAAATTTCTACTAAATCCGGTAATAGGCCTCAAGTTATCAGAAGCCCATAAAGTCTCCTTCAAATGGACTAACAACCCCATTTCTCACATATCCCTGCATTGGAATTTGATCCTTGGCTCCTCTATCCCATGAAGCAGAAGTTTTAACAAACGGTAAGGAAAAATAATTTCTAGTGTTTCACTTTAACATATTAATTCTCATCTATAGGCCCCAGTCTAAACCCCACACATGGGTGGACCTTAGTATATTCTAAAATCTGTTTCTTTCTCTTTTTCTTTCCTTCTTACTACTTATATTCCTATGAAAAATTATCTTCCTTAGTCTTGGGTGGTCCAATGTATACATAATTATTTTCCCATGGGTACTGTAAGAACATGGCATGCCTGTAGTTTTATAAATTTTCTGATATGCTATGCTAAAACATACAGTAATTAGCACTGTGGTCCCACACACAATAGTAGAATCCTAACAGGAACCCTACCATGAAACAGAAACACCACTTAGTCAAAACCCCAAGCTGAGCAAAGTTTAAGTCAACAGATGACAAAGACTTATTAATGACCTATAATGTAACTGGTAAAATCTAGAAATGTATATCTTATTTATGCATCTATAATCCTTGAATTGTTAGTAATGAGGTTGCCTCTGCAATGATGGAGTGGTATACTGAATAACTAATATTGTAACTGATCTCTAGAACTGTCAATAAATCAGTGTCACAGAACTTCAGGGGAGAAAGGGACCTTGGTAAATTAATGTAGCCCATCCCTTCATTTTATAGATGAGAAGAGGGATGAAGAGAAAATGTAATAAGATCATTTACCTGATTTCTACAAAAGAGGAAATAGTCAGTAAATATTTGTAGCATGACAAAACCCAGGTCTGGTTTCCTGATACTCTCTGCATGTCTCTAAATTTAAAAAAAAAAAAAATTTAAACCTTTTTTAATCTATACATGGATTGAATTTGAATTCTTGAAATATAGATCCTAATAGAAACAGTGAAGAACAAGAAAATTGAAATTTATTTGTATAAATGCTATGTATCATATTACATATTTTCATTCCAAACCTATCATATCATAGAAAAACCCTCTAGACCCACACATAAACATAAATACAGCATAGTACGGGGTGCCTGGGTGGCTCAGTCATTAGGCATCTGCCTTCGGTTCAGGTCATGGTCCCAGCATCCTGGGATCGAGCCCCGCGTGGGGCTCCCTGCTTGGTGGGAAGCCTGCTTTCCCTCTCCTAGTCCCCCTGCTTGTGTTCCCTCTCACGCTGTCTCTCTCTTTCTGTCAAATAAATAAATAAAATCTTTAAATAAATAAATAAATACAGCATATTAAGCTCATAGCTATTTTTATAATTTTAAAAATTAAGTTTAAAAAACACAGAATAGTCCTATTGAAAAAGCCAAAAAAGGAAACTCACAGCTTTAAAGATGAGTCAAAGAGGGAAGAGTGAATCCTAGTTTCGCCTCAGCAATGTCAAAAATGCAGAGTGGGAAGATCCAACCTTTCCAGCTCTAATTATTATCTATAGGAGCCTCAAGTTTCCTGCATCTATTAGTAAGAGCTCCAATTCCTGCTTTTTTCCCAACCTACTTCCCCAAGTGACTACCTAACCACCTGTCTGGAGTTCCCCATACTCATCAGGCAACCTTAGTTTCCCAGAGATTGCTCTGTGTTTCTCCAAAATAAATTCTTACATTCTCTAGACAAAGCTTTGGGGAATCAGGAAAAGAGGTCTCATTTAATTCCTCTTATAAATGGAAAAAACAGCATCTATTGGTTTTAAGGTGGCCTTTTGAAAACTTCCTATGAGTTGAATCATTCGAATTCCCTGGCCTTCTGGGGCAAAACACTGAAAAGACAGCCAGGCACTACCAAGTCTTCAAAAAATGGAAGTCAACTATGTCTGAGTACATCCAGACAAGCATTTCCTAGGGAACCCTTTGGACTGAAAAATAAGCATCTTCATTCTTTTTCTGTTTTGTTTTTTTCTTTAAAATCTCTCTTACCAACTCTGTCTTATCAAATAAGAGACACAACTTTCATAGCATGGTCTTCCCTTTCACCCCTAAACAACAAACAGACCAGGCATTTAAAAATTCTTCTTGTATCATCCAAGTTTAAAGCTGAACTAAGATTACTTTTAGCATGTGGTTGCATGCAGGGACACATGTCAGGTTTCACTTTATTGTCTCTCTCAGTCACAGACGTCCCCACTTAATAAACCTAGCAAGAACTCTTTGGTTTTCCTTTGGATTCTACTGCTGCCCTTCCCCACAAACTCAGGTTATGATATCTAGACTGTATTAGTTTAAAAGGGTCAAATCTCCAGGGATGGTGATAAAGGAACTCATTTGACTATTCAGTGTTGCTCCAGACTTGGTGTTAAAGAACTGAGGTCAGTAGGACCAGAACTTTTGCCTGAGTGTGTGCTCCCTCCCTCCAGGTGCCCTTTCTAAACCTCCCCAACTTGCTACCTGTTGGCAGTGCTGGTGTTGCTGCTCCCGTTGCTGTGTTTCTGTGCTCGGCTCAATCTCCTTGGGGGCTTTGAATGCTGCAGTCGGGGGCTCGGCATGGAGGGGAACGTTGAGGCATAGCCATGTTCACACTCTAAAGAGACAGCAAGAGAAAAAGATATGAGAACAGGAATGTACTCAAATCCACGGATCCACAGATCTGAAGTCCTTGCAGTAACATGTTGCTGAAAACAGCAGAAAAAAAGGAGGTAAAAAATTTTCCACTTTCTGGTTGGAAGATAAAATTCTCAGTCCTTGTGAGGACATTTATCCTGTAACATTATATACAGCCATAACCCATCACCTGAAAGGTCTACAAATACTTCCTCTAAACCAAGTAATCTCTCCACCCTTTCCAAAAATCCTTTTCTCCAAGAATTCTTAACTGAAACACACTAATTTCTGAGACTAGTTACCATCCACCCCAAATATTTCACCTGCCTCAAAATCCCCCTTTAACTCTCCCCATTCTGGGTCTCTCACTAAGCGCACCATTTTCACGTATTTCAAACCGTTCAACTGCCTCGTCTCAGAGGACATTTTCTCCCTTGACACCATAATTTCCAGAGTTCCCACTCTTCACTCCCCAGTCTCTTTTCCAGTCCCAGTCCCTAAATAGGGTCCCGTCTCCTCCTACCTGTTTCTCAGACGTCTCCTCCCCACATGCGCGCACCCTCCTCCCCAGTGGCTCCTCAACAGGCATTCCCTGCTCCGCTCCCAGCCTCGCCCCCTCCACCCCTACCTGCGCCGCCGCCTCCCCCTGCTTTTGGCTCTTCCTTCCCTCCAACCTCCCAAGTCCTCCGGCTGGCGCCCACTCTCAACACACTCCCTCCCTCTGCTCTGGCCCACCTCCCCACCTCCCCTCTGCCCCCAGATCCCCGTCCCTTCCCCCTACCTCGTCCCCCAGTCCTCCCCGCACAAGCAGGCCCGCGCAGCCTCTCCCGCACCCCTCCTCTCGCAGGCTCCGGGTTCCCACCACCTCCCGCACCCCTCCCCGCCCTCTCTCCCCTCACGCGCACACCCCTCCTCACACCCTTACCACGCACCCCCCTCACACACGCTCCCCTCCTCACACACACCCCCGCCTCCCTGCACACGCGCACCCCTCCTCACGCACGCACCTGTCGCACGCGCACCGCTCCTCACACACGCACCCTCCCTCCCCTCACACACCCCTGCTTGCACGCGAACCTCCCCTCACACACACTGCTCATGCACGCACCTCTTACACACGCATCCTTCGCGCACGCACCCCTGCCTCCCCTGCTCACGCACGTACCCCTCTCCTCACACGCGCACCCCTTCTCACATCCCCCCCAATACACACGCACCCTCCCTCCCCTCACACGCCACACCGCACTCCCCGCGTGGAGAAGGAGTGCGCGGGCTCAGGTGTGGCGGAGGCGGAGGCGGCGGCGCCCAGCCGTTACCTCGGTCCCGGCGCTCCAAAAACTCGGCCGCCTCAAGCAGGCGCTGCACGTTTATCATCCGCACCCTCTCCATGGGCACCGCTGGTGGCGACCGGGACCTCTACGCGCTCCCTTCCCCGGCCGACAGGAGGCGCCGCAGGCGGATACAGGCCGGTGCCGCCCGGGGACATGTGCGACCGGCGGGCGGGCCAGCCCCGCCACGGATCGGCGCGCTCTCTGCCGCCCTTGTCGCCCCCGCCGCGCCCGCCGCCGCCGCCGCCGGCAGCCCGCGCGCGGTTTGTTTACCTCTCCGCGCGAGCACGGGGGAGGGGCGGGCGCAGCACCGAAGCCCGCCCCCGTCCCGCCCCTTCCTCTGCCTCCTGGGAAATGTAGTCCCGCCCCTCCCACTGCACATCGGGAGTGGTAGTACACACACCATTTCAGTGGGCCTGCGCCTTGCCGAATTCCGCAATGGCAGCTGGGAAATGTAGTCCCGTTTGACTTCTGTCGCCAGAGTGTAGACGAAGTTTTCTGGGCTTTACTTCTGGGAAGGAAGAATTTGAGCCAGTTTCCGGAAAGCTCTTTTCCCAGCGACTTCCGGAGCCCAGGACCTGGAGCATTCTTTATCTGAAATGCCATGTTCTAGTCCTCTATCTACTACTGCTTTTCCATGTAACTTACATGCCTCAGTTTCCCCATCACAAAATGTGCTGTTCAGCTGGTGCACACATAAGCATTTGAAAAGCCAAGATCACTGTTCAGAAACAGGGGATGATCCCTCCAGTACCAGAGAAAGTTGCCATGAGGCCCTTCTTCCACCCTGGTTTCCACATAGAGGTAGTTCAGTTTTTCATGGTGGTGTTGTGTTTTTTTTTTTAATTGTATGTTTAAAAACTTATTTTGCCTCAGGCCCTCACTAGTGGCTTGAGAGGCTAGAAATCCTTTCTACTATTGCAAGTGAAGGACATAATTCAGTAGGTAAGTGATTTGGTGCTGAAGTCACGAAGGGTTCAGTTCAAATCCTGACTCTTCTACTTACACTACCTGTCTGGACTCTCCAAGCCTCATTTCCTCATGTATAAAATAGATATAGTTACTCCATTTATCCGAACATTGAGGGTCTGCCATGTGTCAAGCACTGTACTGGACATAATGTGTACAGTAATGAGAGAAACAAACATAGATCCTATTCTCAAGGAGTCTATGGGCAATAGGGCTTATTGTGAAGATTAAATGAAAAAATTCCAGCATTTAGTACATGCCACTCAGTTAATGGAAGCTATAACAATTGTTTCCTCTCTTGTTCTCCTCCATAGAGGGGAACTGAAAGCAGTGGCTAAAGAGAGCAGGGACCACATTAAAGGATTGCCAACGGCTATCTTCTCTGCTGTTCTCTTTCCAAGTCCTCCATCTAACAAGCCCTCAAAGTCTAGACCAGAGTTTCTCAACTTCTACATTATTGACATTTCGGGCAAATAATTCGTGGCGGGGGGGGCGGACTTGTGCTTTGTGGGATGTCCAGCAGCATTCCTGGACTCTACCCACTAGATGCCAGTAGCACACACACCAACCAAAAACGTCTCCAAACGCTGCGAAATGTCCCCTCGGGGCACAAAGTCACTTCCAGTTGAGAACCACTGGTCTAGGGAGAGGAAGGGCAAGAGGGTCATAACTGCTGAATGCTCTAGGAGCAAGCTGGGAATTGTATAAACATCCATAACTTTTTCCCACCCTGATTATTTTAACCTGCTGGTGGACATCCAAAACAACAGGAAGCTCTTGGTGAGGGGAGAATTTCCCCTTCCCTATGGTCATTCCAGTGGCTACTGCAGAAAATACCATGTCAGAATGAAAATCTTACTCTCAAAAATGTCATGAGATTCATGCTGCATTTTAATGCCCTCTCTCTCTCCTTTCACTCTTCTTCTTTTCAATTTCCAATGAAGTAAAAAACTGCAAAATTATGCCAGCCCTTTTAAATATTACATTTGGCACCACATTTAAGAACCAAATAGATGTTCCATCCAATGCAGGGAGACCCAAAATGAGAGGTGTTCCCAAGCTGTTCAAAGGAGAGTCAATTTTTTTGGTAAAGACTTTAAAATAGGGACCTTACTTTTTCTGTTGTTGGATAGATCACTCCAGATCTGGGGTTTCCCATTGGATACTGGTAACAACTACTCTCAACAAGGGACATATGGGGCAAAGCGAAGAATGGAATTATTTAAAAGAAAATAGCTATCTGCTAAGACCTGTTAGTTAAGGGCAGAAATTACTAGGTTGAAAGTTAGTTTCTACTACTTGTAGACTCCTTAAGCTTTAGATCCCAAACTGCTAAGTGCTACTGCAGGAATTTAAAAGAGGTAGATTCATGACAAATAAAAGTCTCCCCAGTGGGAGATAAACCATGTGACATGCAATCAAAAAAGAAAAAAAAAAGAAAAGTACCAACTGAAAATACACATGGGTTTAAATCCATAGATCGTATGCTCTAGCAGGTTATTAAGAGAAAGCATGATGCTCAGTGCACGTGCCTGACCTTTCACAGTTGACCTCCAGATGAATTAACCAGCCCTTCTTTTAGAGCCACGGCCAAGAGGGAGAGAAGGAAATGGAAGTAGGGTGAGAGTCACCAAAAAGGCCCACCTGCCTATGTTGAAGAATAGCAGAGGTAATGGTGATGGAGGGCAGTGGGCAGTGTTAAGGGCAGATTTATATATAGGAAATCATTCTTTTCCAAGAGCAACTGAAGGTGCCATTTCCTTCTCCCTGCTCTGCCTGACTCCTAGAATTCTTGCTTTGGCATTGGCCACAATGGCCTCCCACAGTACAAGGCTTGGGGCTCTAGCCTCAGGAAAGGAATACTCTTCATAAACCATCCCTCAGCGCCAGTCCCAGCCTGGAGAAACCCAGAGGCAGCTGTGGCCTTTCTTTTATTCAAATGAATCCAGTTTGTCCTACAAACGCAGATGGGGAAACTGAGAGAAGAACCAAAGAACCTGGAATCTTACTCACAATCTCTGGTCCTGTCCTCTCCCTAAAGTATCTCTCTCAGGGGAGCCTTATTTGAAAATGGAAAAAGTCCCCCTGAATCCCCCAGGCCTCTAACAAACACAGCCCAGATGGGGATGAGCTGCCTCCTGGAGCAAGCAGGCAAAGCTCTCCATTCTGTCAGTTTACTCCACGCAGATTTCCAAAGGACTTATTGCAGGTTCACGAACAATGGAAACTGGTCTGTATTACATCTTTTCTGCAGACAGGAGAGATGGAAAGAGGGGAAGGGGCCATCAGGTTAAGTTACAAGTCCAAAGTCACTGTACTGGTCACACCTGGTGCTTAAGGGAACTTCCCTGAAAGTGCAAAACGCTTGGCGTGCAGGGCAGTTTTCTGCCATTATCTGTAAGGATGTGGGGTTTTCAAGCAATGAAGGCTGAAGATGGAGGAAGGGTGAGTCCTGAGCTCCTAAATGAGAGCCTTAACAGTTATACGTCTTTTTCCATCCTCCACCCCAAAATGACAACACAGCCTCCTTCCCCCTCAGGGCCCAAAAACGTGAAGAGCAGCAGAAAACCTTTCCTTCTGCCCAGTGAGTCAGCCTTGCCTAACTTCATGCGTAAGCTCTCCTCAAGTCAGCGGCAGCTCAGAGCTGCGGGTCTGCGTGCAGCCGAGATAAATTTGGGTCTAG